TCTCTCTCTCTCTCTCTCTCTCTCTCTCTCTCTCTCTCTCTCTCTCTCTCTCTCACTCACTCACTTTCTCGCTTTCACTCTCGCTTTGTTTTTCCCTTTCTCTCTCGTGTCGAGAATACGGATACTTTAAAATTCCTTTATAAAAATCTACCTACACTGCAGAATAGTAGAATCGCTCGGTTCGATCGCTTAATAAACTCTAAAGTAGACACAACCGCGACTCGATCGTTAATTCTCGATCGATGTCCCCGACGCTATTATTTACGTAAGCTTACGGCTCCAACGTTAATTCTAATTTATACTTTACACATATATCGAGTTTTCCCTTTTTCTCCCCCCTCCCCCCTCCTTCTTCTCTTTCTCCGTTTCTCTATCTGTCGCGATCGCGATGGCAGTCGAGCGCAGATCAAGCCAGTCGATTTTCTTAATTGGTTCTAATGCTTTATTCGCGAACAACACGAAGCTTTGGCAATCGGGAAGTCTGTGGTTTGTTATCTTACGAATAAGTTACGTATATTACGTACAGTGAAAGACGGATACGATGATAAATAATAGGATCACGCGTCGCGTCGGCGGTTTGTCGATAAAACATCAGTGATGGAATGGAGGATCGATGCAACGTTACAGACACACGCGCGCACATACACACACGCACACACGCATTCATTTTGACTTGGTGTACGTCATTGCATAAACATTCATTGTGGTTTTACAAAACTTACGTAGGGAACACTTGAATCGACTGGGGTTCAATATGAGCCCAGCGAGTATCATTTCACGGCCGCGTCGTCTTAAATACCCGCGTTTTATACACGCTTACCCACATATGCTCCCACACTCTTACACACGCACGCATATACACAACAGGAGTATCGATTCGACGAATATTTCTCTGCGAATGATACAACGTATTTCAATATAGACTCTACGGACGAAAGTATCAGGTCAGTGCAAAAGCTTGATCGCATTTGTCGGGTAAAATCGGTAACGACATTCAATTTCGAAGTACTGACAGGTTCGTCCGACAATGTTTGAAAATTTTTTAACGAATTATTTTGATAATTCTTACGAATAAAGTAAACGTGGACTCGATATTTCTTTCAGACGTCGAACGAGAACTTTCGGTTTCCGCGCGAATGGAACGGATAAACGACGAATCTTTTGCACTAAACTCTAACGTAAGAGAACTTGGATATTCCGTATAAAAATGTCGAGACAACGGTGTTTCGGACGCGGCGCAGATCGCGGCGTTATTAAGTCGAGAACGCGGCGGAAGGAACGACGCGGCAGAGTAAATTCTCGCGCGAATTTTAATGTCTACGCTATAGATACGTGCTTATACTCTATCTATCGACCTACCTACCCACGGCGCATTATTAAATCAAACGCGAAGACCTTTATATATTTCTCATTCGGCCGGCTGTCCATCTCGCGATTGGTTTTACCTCTTCGAAGCGTACCTCTGAATTGCACATCTACACGTCGACGATGTTCTCGAGAAAGAAAAAAAAACTGCACGAGAACCGCCGCTCCGGCGTGTCACGCGATACTTCGATTCTTCCGATTCCTCGCGACCTCCAAGGTTGAAGGCATACCAAAGCAGGTTACCGCAGCGCAGAACCACGGCGAAACTCAAACTTCAACGTAAAAGAACAGCTAACAATTGTGAAATCAAACGAATAAAAACTGAACGAATAAACAAAGAACATTTGTACAACATTTCGTCGAAGTCGGCGTTGTTAACGCGATCAAATAAATCACAATAAAATATTTCAAGGCGACAAATATATATATAGCCGGCGGGAGAAAAAAAAAGTTGCAATACTTTGCAAAATTTGAGAACTCGTGCAATGAAAAATTTTAAGTGAAAAATTCTATTTTAACTCTCTAGCTACTATGCGCCACTAAAGTGGCTTCTCTGTAAGTCATTCTGTTTGACGAAGCGCCACTAAAGTGGCTTTCCGCCAAACCATTTCTTAGTAATTTCTAAGTCGTTATCTCTCACTTTTTTTCGTGGTTTTTAAAAGTTGTGTGCATTTTCGTTTACATGCACATCGCGGCAGAGAAATCTGTATACAGCGCCACAGCCAGTTTCGTAGCTAGAGGCTTAAATGATACTTTAAATTTGAAATTAATTAGAATTGTACTTTAAATGATACTCGAAATTAATTAGAAATTTTAAAGCCAGAGATATTGAAATTTTAAATATTTTTAGTTTTTAAATTTTAAATTGAAAATTGCGAAACTTTATTTCCTGATAGTTACTCAAAAAAGAAAAATTCTCGTAGCACGAATGGGTTGCGAAAGTCGTTGCAAAAAAGTTGTTGCAACTTTCTACCCGCCGGCTGCGGAACACGCGACATAAAGAACACATAAGGTCAACGAAAAACACGAAGCGCTTCTGTTATCGGTAATCTTGCGCTCTCCCTTATCACTGACTGACTGGCGTACAGACGACTGTCGATTCGCGCGGATCGTGTCATGACTTTAGAAGATATGCGGCGCCAGCTGCAGCTTCCACAGAGAGACCGGCCTCGCGAACACCGTCACCTGACCCTTCTCTTTACCGCCGACCAAAAAAACGTACAAGGGCGCCGGTCCATAGGAGGGCGTTTTCGCGTCGGTCGCGTCCACTGCCGCCACCTTTGCCCTTTGCCTTTCGGCCCTGGACGCGCTCACCGCTCTCCTCGAGGGCGAGCCCAGCGGCAGGCTTTTAGGGGGTGCGCGTGGCACCCTCCGAATCTCTTGAAGCTCCAAGAGCTCAGCGAAGGTCTGCGAGGCCGACCTGCCGGGTTCGTCCTCGAGCACGCTGTCGGGTGGACTGTTGAGCAATTTGGCGTATTTGCCGTCTTGCTGTTGCTGTTGCTGATGATGGTGGCTTCTCGCTTCGTCCAAGCCGAGGTAGTTCGGGTTGCAGAAGCCAAACTGGCCCTCACGTATCGTTGATGAAGTGACGATGGGCCGGTGCGGCTTCGACTTCCTGCCGGACACCCAGTCGTCATCCGCGAGCGGGTCGCCTGGGCTCCTCGCCTCGATGCTCGCGTAGTCCGACGTCGATTCTTCGCCTTCTTCGAGGTCGGCAAAACGCACAGACGCGGATGTGGGGATCTTGGTGGTCGTCGGAGTCTTGGGAGTCTGCAACGCGGCCTCGTACAAGTGTGAGCTATAGCTCTCGCCACGGGTCGGTTGGCAGGCTTGGTGTACCGCCGCGAAATCTCTGCGAAGAAACGCGATGAACATGATAGGTGACACGAGAGCACGTTATCAAAAGAAAAAAAATCAGTCGAGGAAACTTGAATCGAGTTGAACGTACAATTTCAGAGTGATACGTGGCGGAGTAATTCCTTCAGCGAAATTTTAGTGTTCTTTTGATCTCTTCATCAAATCCCGCATAGAAAGTTTTTTAGGATCCAGCCAGATTTCACAAAATAATTATGGATCCTGTTAGAAATATGTTTTAATTAAACAATTTAAAAGAGAAGTTTACCCCATAATTTTTCTGGTATTTATTTTATATTAGAATTAAGTAAGAAATGTGTTGATTTCTTAAATAATTTAATAAGATTTTTGAAAATGTTTTATTTTGCAGTATTTTATTTAATTGAATATATAATAGTTGGTGTAAAAATAGGATACCATAAAAGTATACCGACATTACCGATTGAGAAAAAGAGCGAGTTTCCATATATTTCTATTTCGATTCTAGACAGAGAACCCATACTTGAGATAAGATTTTATTTAGTATCGTAGTGGGATAACCAAGTTTGGGACAAATTTGGGTATTTTAGTCGATGTTACATTTAGGAAAATCTTGGGAAATTTCTATGCGGGATATTATACAGTTAGGTGAACCTTTTGATCATTGAAAGAACATCTGTATCGTATATTTATTTTTAAATACAATTTTTTAATAATTTCTAAATGCAATTTCAGAGTTACTTATAACAGTTGGCTGTCTTAATTTTTTCAGCAAACTTTTGATGTAATCTTAGTTTCTTGTAAAACAAGCTTAGAATTTTGCGATTCGCAGAACTGTATCCGACGTCGTGTTTATCGTGTGAACTTTGACTAGCAATTCAATTTTGCAGTTCAACTATTAGACTCAACTCGATTTCTGTTCGACTCGACCGCAGTTTGTACGACAAAATTAACGCAGTCCTGAGACTCGTCCTTTCCACTCGATTTTTTTTTACGCTAACGGATCGACCGCGCGAATTGCAATTATCTCGGTAATTACCGCCTCTCTTCCTGCACCTCGATCAATCTCGACGTGGGTGGCTCCTTGCGCTCCTCGTCGCTGTTCTCGTCCGGGTCTACGAAGACCAATCGGGCGGCCTCTACAGGCGTGAGAACAGGTGTTGGCAACGTCAAAGCACGAAAGTTTGGCACCGATATAGGATCTCTGGTCATACCAGAAGCGACGGCGGCGTTGTTCACGCCGCCGACGACGTCGGCCGTCGACCGCGGCGTGCCCTCCGGCGCTTTCTGTCTCCGTCTGGCCAGTGTGTTGGCACTGCGAGACTTTACCATACCCGTGGACGGTTCCACCACCTCGACGTCCACTTGCTGAAAAGAATAATACGTGTTCGCCTGCACGCAGGCTCGATTGACATATCTCGACGAACGAGAGAAAAATCGACTGCTTCTTTTGCCGTTTCTAGTCTGTCGGGATTTGATTCACGGTTTATCGTTCTAGAGTTCTTCGTACCTCCTGAGGGCTCTCCTCGTTGTCGTCGTGTCCGCTCAGCACCGAATAGCTGCACTTGGTCGGATGACTGAGTCGCGACAGGTTGATCTGCGACAACTTCGAGATTTCCTTGAGAAAGCTCGGTCGGGTTGGCGCCTCATTCGGCGACATTCGGTTGCTCGAGAGTCTCGGCCTTTGACCCCGCGGCCGCGGTTTCGGATTGTCCACGTTGGTGCCGCGAATTAGCAACTCGGATACCGCGAGAGCCACGCTCTCGGCTCTCGGCTGCGGTTTCGGTCCCGGCACGGACAGCTTCTCCCAGGTTTCCGTGCCTGCGAAATAATATTCGACCGCGAAAACCGTTAAACATCGTAAAAGAGAAAGTGAAAGAAAGAGAGAGTCATCGTAAAAGATAGATCTGCAATGAATAATAATATAGAGATACCCACATATGCAATAACAAGTATTTGCAAGACTTATTCTTATCTTTTTCCTACTTGACCTGTGTAGTGTTCCTGATAACAGTACGATAAGGTATAATGCATGATAAATGTATACCGTGAGATAAGTAAAAGTGCGGAATGACTCTTACCGAAATGAAACCTCCACAGCTCGTTCGTCGCCAGACCGCCGCTCTCACCGCCGAAAATTAGCATGCAGCTCGGCAGTCTGCATGCCGCGTGACCGTGCAGCGGCCCAGGCCCTGGTTTGTTCTTCAGCATGGACCACGAGGCACTGTTGACGTCCCATCGCCAACAGTCGTTCCTCTCTTGTAAATCCGTCATCCCACCATAGACGTACATCGCGTCGCCGTGCAGCACCGCTGAGTGTTTGTGTCGCGCCGCTGGTCCGCTCTCGCTCGACGAGAGTAGGTGCCAAGATTCGGTCTCTGCAACATTGAGCGAGTTAGAGTCGAAATACTTGGGGCCGGTCGATCGAGCCAAGTTTCTGCGCGGGTAAAATGTCGTTACCGAAATGAAAGGCCCACAACTCGGGTGAACTTCCGCGCAAGTCCTGATAACCGCCGTAAATCAACATCTGTCCACGATGCACCAGTGCGGTGTGACCTCTGCGACCTCGAGGCACCGCGCAGCCCCGTTGTGCCCTTACCTTCCGCCACGAGTTCGTCTGGAAATTGCGATCGCAATCGTGAGTTGTCCTCACTGACATACGGAGACATGAGCCTTGTTGTACGTGAAATATCATCGATTCTTTTATTTTTTACGTTTTCACATGGACAAAACGTTTGGTCAGATTGACCAAATTTCTGGTGGTTTAGAAAATCCAGTTCAAGTGGTCGATAAGGTTAACTTTAATAGAATTCTGGTAACATTAGCCGAAAGTTCGTTCATATTTCACCAGAAATAGGTTAACTCAATCAAATTTTTCTCCCCTGTAATAGATCACCTTTTATTTTAAAGATCTGCGCATCCTAAATGATTACAAACGGGACTCTCTTTATTCTCCGCAACGCGTTTCTGCATTTTCGCAGGTGATCGTGTACGCCGCATATAATAAGAGCAAGTCACCACAAAAGGGATAAAGACCTCTAATTTGCGGCCCTCCAATTCTGCCGTCTGAATAGGTTCGGCTTTAACTCCTGGGGGCCGCGATAATCGTCGCCGCCGTGTTCGCTGAATAGAGATGTGAGGTTATTCTCCCGCTGATTGCGACTCGCTCGAGTCCCGGAAAATATCTCGGGTCGTTACGACGTTTACAACGTATACATCCCCTCTCCCTCCCTCCGTCCCTCTTCCTCGCGTCGCGATAAAATTTTTGATGCTGGAACGCGCGTTTGTCGGGCGAATGTGCAATTGCTAAATTGTTGGCATGCAAATTAATATGTAACAAAAGCGAGAAGAATCGTCTCGTCGCGTGGTCGGCGCGAACGAATGAATTTACACGCGAAATATTAATCGAAACGTCGTTAACATTTCTGCATCCTGCCGCGCGTATATTTATTTGCACGAGTCGAAGCGTTTCGCTGCGCAGCAACATATACGGTTGCCGCAGGTGATGCGCGATGATGAATATTGCAGTTGAACCGCTCGGCAACATACATTCATAACTCGAACTTTCATCCGTCCGCGAAATGAGGCGCAGCATGTAAAGGGAGACCGGGAGGGTGGAAGGAAGGGAGCTTTTTATTTGCTTTAAAGAGGCGTGTTATCTCATTGTTGCCTATTTTCCGCGATACTGATTGATACCCCAATCTCAACGTGAGTCTTTTGTTTCTACATTTAAAGGGATACTGAAGTCGAACAATGCAGCGATTGCCACTAACACAATCGCGCTATTCTTTTCGTATTTCTTGTACATACAGAACTTATGTAAATGTGTGTTGTTTTGTTTTATATTCAGCGGAAAACCTACCTACGCATTGTGTGTAGAAATCTTTCTGCAAGCTTTCCGGATATTCTTAAGTTTTTTAATTTAAATGCAAAGATACAGTAATGTTTTTCAAAATTTTTCTGTTTGGAGCATCCATATTTTCTGTATGTTCAAGTTGCGAAATTTTTGGATGAAGCAAACTTTTTAGAGATATGACAACTTTTTAGAGATTTTTACAGATTTTACATTAAACATTTTTTTTTTCAATTTTGTCACATATTGAGCAATGTTTCTATTTATTTTTGCACGTACTTTTATTGCGTAAAACATTTGCAATTCTATACCACCAATTCTATACCACGAAAACTGCAGAAAAATTGTCACTATTTTGTCAATAAAGTTTTCAGCATAGTCCCTTAATATGAGTGGAGATGTTTTGCTATCTTTAAACTCGATGAGGTCAAAGAAATTCTCGCGAAATCAGATTTTAATGCAGTCACGTTTGGATTGAGGGGAGAGGATGAGATTTGCTCTTACATTTACTTCAAAATTTAGAAGAACATTTTTCTAAAATTAGAACAGACTTTGATACGTGTCGCGCGCAATGCGTACGAGAGGCTCGTTAACGTTCATGAAAACCGAAGTATAGTCGCGCGAAGTAACGCCGGCAGATTTATTTTTACCCCGTCGCTTTTACCTTGTAACGATTCTCATGTGAGAACGGTGTCGCGCGAATAAAACGTGCGCCTACGATGCGAGCATTCTTCGCGCGTCCTTTATATATATTTACACGCGTATCATAGATGAGATCGATAACGTCGAGCTCTGTCGCGGAGCGATTTGTCGCTTAATCGAGCGCCCATATCAAACGACGGCGATGGACGTTAAAAAATCGCGTTCTACCTTCTTTTACCTGTCAAGACGTCGTCGCGGCTTGCAAAACGACAGAAATAGAAACGCATCTGCAAATGGACAGTCACACAGTGTAAAGATGAGAGTAACAGCAAACTAAACCAAATATATCAATATTCGTTGTTAAACATTCATTTCGCACTATACTTCGCCATGTGCAGAGTTGCATTCCGTTTATGTATCTTTTCTACTCTTTCTTTTTTCTTTATCGTATTACTTCTGCTTGTTCTTCATTTTTCCTTACATGAAAGGGTTCAGAAGGGTTGACCCGTTTACAAGTAGGTAAATAAAGTAAAGTCGAAGTATATCGATGAGTGGAAGCTCGAAGGGTAATTCAGTTATGATTAAAGTAATTTAGACACATCGTTTAGTTAAAAGTGGCAGAAACTGTCTGCAAATGTAACCAATAAATACGTTCAAGAAGACTCTCCCTTAGTCGCGACTGTCGGGAACAAATTGGCGGTATCGAATCAATCGACGAATGGTGGCGTCGCTGTGCTGTCGAGTCGTGATTTGTCTGAAACAGGAGACGAGCCGGCTCGTCTCGAGCTGTCGGCTTTAGGCGCGCACTTGGAGTTACGTAATTACTTTCGACACCCTCAACCGGGCAAGCCACCCTCGCACTCGTCCCTCTCGCATTGATACACACTCGTAGCATAGTAGAGACGTGGGAAGCGGCGTTTCGTTCGCGATAGGCGTGCACCGACCGGTCTAAAAGAGCCGTGATTGTCGTTACACATCAAAAGAACCGGTCGGGCTGGGAGGAAACTACGAGTGTAGCTGTCGCCCGCGGGATATTTGGACATGCTCATGAATATTTCTCGTTGCCGAACACGAGAGCAGCCGATATTACACGGCACGAGCGAACGAACGAGAGAGAGAGAGAGAGAGAGAGAGAGAGAGAGAGAGAG